GTCTGAGGAATAGGGTAGACTCAGAAACATGGAAGTAGGGTACAGACTGACAACCCTCAGAAGAGGGGATGGTGGGGAGTGGGAAGAGATAAACCACAGAACTTATATGCATGTATGCATAACCAATGGACATGGACAACGAAGCCAGGGACGGGGTGGGGGGGATGGGGAGGAGAGTGTCAATGGGGTAAAAAAGGAGAAACATCTGTAACAAAAATAAAATTTAAAAAAATTAAAAAAACCAAACAAAACATGAGTTATATATGCAATATTAGGAAAAACACACTCCAAATAAACTGTTGAGTAAAAAGCAAATTCAAAGCAGTATGTATAATAATATTTAATTTGTGAGAAGGAAAAAAGATTTAAATATATATATAATATGTCTGGAATGATATGTAAGAAGGCGCTTTGTGTAGCTGGGATATTAGAGGGTGCCCTTCTGAACTCTTTGAAACTTTTATCATGAATATGAATGATTAAAATTTTTATTGTAATTTAAAAAATAAAATATCAATTAAAAAAAGATATGAGTATAATGGTGAATACTGGAATAATATATAAATCATTCTAAATATCAAAAGAAGTATTAAAAGGTCAAAGAAAAAAGTAAATGTAACACAAAATATGACAAAATTAAGAATAAATACCAGTCATAGCAATGCATATAAACTCATCTACTAAAATAAAATACTTTCTGACTGGATCATAAAGGAAAACCTGACACAGCACCTACCGAGTGCAGAGTGTACATTCCTTCCAAGTCCACGTGGCACAGACACCAAGAAAGACCATGTGCCGGCCCAAGTCTCCAATTTAAAAGAAATGAAATGCTAAGAAGTACGCTCCCTGACCAAAACAGAATAAAACTAGAGATCAATACTACCATTACAGAAAACCGGAAATATTTGGAAATTAAGCAACACACTTCTAAATACATGGGTCAAAAAAAGAAATCACCATTTTCACCATTATACTTACAAATAATTTTGACATAAGTTCTACCTTGTCAGACACCAAGACTGCAATTTCAGCTTTTTTTTAAGGTTTTAAAAAATGTTTCAGATTTTTTGTTTTACTGAGAAGTAACTGGCATGTGTTGCTGTAGAAGTTTAAGGCACACAGTATAATGATGTGACTTATATACACTTTGATTACCACAGCAGGTTCAGCTAACAGTCATCTTCTCATACAGATAAAATAAAAAGAAAAGAAGAAAGGAAAAAATTCTCTTTTGTTTGCAGGTAAAACTATTACACTTTGCTGTAATAGTACTTATCAAAAGACAATAAAGCAATGTTTATAGAATACTGAGGGAAGAGGATTTGATAAGAATTCTTTGTCCAATTATTATTTATGTTTGGAGGTAATAGACGATAGACTAAAAGAACTCACCATTTATGTACCTTTATTAAAATTACTTTAAAATACTAACCAATCAAAAGATTAATTAAAATCAGGAACTAAAGAACAGGAAAGATATGTAATAAAATGTAATTAAACATTAAAGGTAATTAAACATAAAGATATATATAATTAAACATACATTGAAGGTAATTAAACATACAGATATATATATACATTTAGATACATATATATATCTGAATACATCTGTACATACAGGTATATATTATATATAATATATATAAACATATAGATATATATAATTTTTCTATGTATGATTACAAGTAGAATACAGAAGAAAAAACTCTTCTTGAAGAGTTAAAAGAATTAACTCTGGCTGTTAGCCCTGGCTGGTTTGGCTCAGTGGTTAGAGCGTTGGCCTGTGGACCAGAGTCCCAGGTTCGATTCCTGTTAAGGGCATGTACCTCGGTTGCGGTTTGTCCCAGCCCCAATTGGGTGGCAGCCACTCGATGTGTCTCTCTCACATTGATGTTTCTCTCTCTCTTCCTATAAAGTGTGAATCCTTCATAATGTCTTGAAACAACCGAATGGCTGCTTATCAAGTAGAAAAGCAAAAAAAAAGCCATAGAGAATCGGAAAGAGCTTGGAGAAGTCATGTCCCCTAAAATGACAAACATGGTCTGTGGCTTGGGGCAGAAAAAAAACAGAAGCAGTTGAAGGAGCTTCTATTGTAAATAATGTCACCCACTCCCACTCCAGAACTGCTTTCTCCCCCCATTTTTTTTTTTTTTATCCTTACCTGAGGACATTTTTGCATTTCAGATACAGCAGGAAGAAGAGAGGAAGGAAGAGAGAGAGAGAGAAACATCAATGCGAGAGAGACATATTGACTAGTTGCCACCCACATGACCCCCACCAGGGCCGGGGACAAACTGCAACCGAGGTACGTGCCCCTAGTGGGAACCGAACCCGCGTTTCTCTGGACCGTAGGCCGAAGCTCTAACCGTTGAGCCAAACTGGCCAGGGCTCAACAATTTAATTTTTTAAAGCAGCTCTAAGAGGACCTGAATCCTCCGGTGCCCTCAGCACAGCCAACTCTGTTTTCTCCCATTACTGGCATTCCTATTTCATGAGCCCTTTTTGAAATTTTGAAAAAATACCATCATCTTGAAAATGGTATTTCCAAGCAAATATCTGACTGGAAAAAGCTGCAGAACTCTGGGCACAGATCACATGTTTCTGGCATTTGGCTGTCCACGTGTGTCTGCTGCTTTGGAAAAGAAGCTCCAGATGTCAAGCCGTCGGGTCACTTTCTGTGTCAGCGACATGGGTGCCACTCATACTGCACGAAGCCTGGTCTGTGAGGAGCAGCAACATCATCAGGGCTGGGGGCTAACTCATTTTTCTCAGGATCTTTTTAATCAAGAAAGGGGAACAGAATAAGAGTGGTTCTTCACTTACTAGAGGAAAATTTGCTGGATTTCCAAAGGAAAATCTTAAAAAGCTTGATTAAACTTTGGGCAGCAATTTTTAATAGAAAGGAACATGTGCTTTCTCATGGTTTAACATACTGGGGCAATGCTTTTCACCACATCTTTTTGGTAAAGCCTCGTGGTCAGCGTCATGGCTGCTGCTCAGGAACGGAGAGCTCTGGTTCTATAAGGGATTGGTCACGAGGAGCCCAGTATTCTTCTAACACTGAAGAAAGACTTTCGGCAAGTCTGGAGTTAGGGGACCAGACTTTCCCCAGTTTTCCTGCAGGCAGGAGCAAACAAGTGCCAAACTCTTAAAGGTTACTTCTGATCAAGATAATCTTGAGACTGACATGTGGACTTAACGTCCGAAATTTGGCGACATGGATGAACATCAATGACTTGGATTTTGCCAGAGATAATAAACTCAGTGAACTGGGGGCAGAGGAAATTATCAAAATGAATTCGACTATCCCTCAGCTCAAGCCTGTCCTCATTTGGCAACGTCTGCCACAGAGCTTTGACCTCATTCGCTGTGGTGTGCTTTTGCAAGCCGGGTTTTACGGCACGTCTGTCACCAAAACACACAAAGACATTTTAAAACTGACTGGATATCAAGCTTGACACATTTATGTTGTTATATCGAATTCACTCAAAACTTTCTCCACTTTTCTTTTTGTCAGTCCTCACCTGAGAAAATTTTTTGCATCGATATTTTGAGAGAGATCGAAAGTGGGAGAGAGAAACATCAATGTGAGAGAGACGCATCGATTGGTTGCCTCCTGTATGTGTCCCAGTTGGGGCCAGGGAATCAAACCTGCAACCCAGGTGTATGCCCTTGACCGGCAATCAAACCCGAGACCTTTGGGTGCGTGGGCTTGTGCTCTACCACTGAGCAACGCCAGCCAGGGCTCTCCTACTTTTTTTTTTTTTTATCCTCACCCAAGGACATTTTTCCATTTTTTGTTCAGATAGAGCGGGAGGGAGAGAGAGGAAGAGAGAGAGAGAGAAACATCGATGTGAAGGGACACATCGAGTGGCTGCCACCCGCACAACCAACTAGGGCCGGGGACAATCTGCAACTGAGGTACGTGCCCTTAGCGGGAACCGAACCCGGGTCTCTCTGTACTGTAGGCCGACGCTCCAACCGCTGAGCCAAACTGGCCAGGGTGGGCTCTCCTACTTTTTAAAGTCAAACTTCAGTAGCCTTTACATTGAAAGCTGGTGATAAATTGAACTGAAGTTCAAAGTTTGCTTTGCTCAGAAATTTTTATTTCTTTTATCATAAAGTAATTCATTTCTGCACTAAAAATGAGTGAGAGAGGCACAGGGTTGTAAAGAACGTCTTTTGTGTTTTTCTATATGAAATCGAGAGAAGGCCGAGACTCAGAAGGCAGCAGCAAAAGGGTTAGGAAGGATCATCAGGAGCAAGGTGTGTCGTTAGAGACCAAGGCAAGATTATCTACCACCACACTCCCAAGTACTACTACAGATGCAAAAGTTGGACGGTGAAGAAGGCTGACAGGGAAAAAATGGATTCATCTGAAACCTGATGTTGGCGGAGAGGCCTACAGAGACCCCGGAGCGCCAGAAAGACAAGTTTGTGTGTCCTAGAGGAACGTAGGCCTGAAACTTCACTGGAGGCAAAAATAACAGAACTGAAGCTGTTCTACTCCGGGCACATCATCTCTGGAAAAGACAATGATGCTGGGAAAAAATTACAAGGCAGCAGGAAAAGAGTAAGATTAAATATGAGATGGATTGATGCATTAAAGAAGCCCGAGGCTCTTGAGAACAGGACACTGTGGATGTCACCCATCCACCGACTTGCCAGGCGTCAGAGCTGACTCAACAACACGTACCACACACAATCACGTAGGAAAGAAAGTGCAACCTGTGTCTAATATAAAAATAAATTCTACCTGAATCTTGTGCATATGTTTAGGTGCCTTTTTTCTATAAATTCACATCTTTCAGGCTCAAAGAGGTTTATGATTCAAAAACTTGAAAAAAATATCTATAATATTTCAAAAGGCCTTTTTAAAAAATCCTTTATTTCTAAGCTGACCCATGATTGTCACACACAGGCTGTCATCCCCACTCCGCTGCGCCGCGCTGTCCTTGGGGCGTCTGCCCTGGGAGGAAAGGAGCGAGCGCTCGTACCTGATGGTTTTCCACACGTCGAAGCCGTCCAGAGGTTTGGTCCCGCTCGTGCTGCCCCCTGCCAGCGTCACCAGCGTTGGCAGCCAGTCGGAGATGTGGATGAGCTCCCGGTTCTTCACGCCCTTCCGCTTCAGCAAGGGGCTGGCCACAAAGCCCACCCCGCGAACGCCTCCTTCCCACAGGCTCCATTTTCTTCCCCGAAGGGGCCAGTTGTTGCCCCCAGCTAAAGTCTGCCCGCCGTTATCTGAAAGACAGTCAGGTGTTGGCATTGGGACAGTGTTTAGGAACAGAAGACTTCTATGTATGTTGTTATTACATGGTGCTTAAGAACTCAAAAAGGTAACCCCTCCTCCCCCCTCCTGCACCAACTGCCCTTTTCCCACTGGAGTTGCCCCCCACCACAGACAGAACCGGAGGCCCAGATCTGACCCCAGGCCAACCAGCCCTCTGTGGAAAGGGTCACTGAGACGCAAACATGTCCCCTGAGGGTGGCTGCTTGGGGTGGAGCCCTGGGTTTCAAATGCACGTGTGCCCCTTGGTGTCGCAGGAGAGAATGAATCCAGGGAAGCTGAGCCCTCCTGGGACACGGGAAGAAACCTGAGTGAGCTGCACTCAGCGACCTAAAGCTCCTGGTGGGTGGGGGCAGCAGACCTTCTCCTTTCCTCCTGGAAGAGTTCCTAACATTTAAACTGGTAACTGAACTCACATTCCACTCCCTGGTGATTTGAACTCTTTCTTAAGTGTGAAAGTTGAAGATTTCTCCAGTGGGCTAAATGGCTCTGTAAACAGAGCAGTAGGGTGGAAAAAATAATTGCGAGAAAAATTCCTCCCTTCTTGACAGGATGATGGCAAAACAAAAAGCCTCATCGTGCGCTGTGCCAGGGGAGAGAAGGGTTTTCTTCCAAGACAGCTGAAGGAATGGAGGGCACTGGTGAAGCCAGAGGAGAAGTTACAAGAGTGCCCGAAGTTAAATATCCTACCAGCTGGCTAGGGCTCAGAGTTAGACACCAAGCGGGACTGTGGAAAGTAAAAGTAATACTTCTTGTGTAATGAGGTTGTAGAATCATATCACGTATCTTCAACGTATCCACATACTTAGGTTAGAGACATATTTTAAATAACACTTATTTGCTAGTATATTATACTTTAATTAAACAGTTTTTAAAACCACTGTTACCCAAATGAGCCACATGAGGGCAGTAATACAGACTTGCTCTACAGAACCTTACGAATAAACATCTAACACAGAAGTCAAGATCTGTCAAAGCCACAAGATCCACGTGGAAGGAAAGAGAATGAATATGCGTTAAGCAAGCACCTACTGTGCACCAGGCACCACTTTAATTTTATATTTCCTCTCCCAGAATCCGGAGTCTGATAGACCGGAGGCCGGACGCCAGCCACTCACGAGCTGTGTGAGGCGGGACAACAGGCTGCCTCGGTTTCTTTATCTTTAAGTGGAGATAATAACTGCTACCTTATGTATTATGGGGAGAAGTAAATGGCACCATCTACGATCATTGTTTGGTTGGGTACCTGGTACAACGTAAGCACTAAATAAATGGTAGCTAATATTTACAACAATCCAACTAATCTAGGTTATAACCATTTTGTTGGTTTAAAAAGTAAGATGTGGAAAGGCCAAACCAATATGTGGCAGATCTAGGATTCAAACAAGGTCTATGCGACTCTGCAGGTGCCTTCTGCTCCCAGAGGGCCATGCTGCCAATGTCCTTGACGCCGAGTGGGTTTCAGACCTGTCGGCCACAGAAAGCTTCACTTCCCTATGAACACCATGCGCGGCCAACCTCAGCAACGTGTACACTCTTCCTGTGACGCAGCAGAAGGGCAGCTTTTCTGAGGCCCTCATTCCCCTAGGAGGAGAACCACCTTGGTTTCTGGTTGGTAAGAAATTCAAGGATCTACTGCCAAGGAGGCCCTGATTAAGCCCTTAACAAGCCCAGTCCTCAGTTCTTCTCTGCTTCGCAAAGGGGAGGGAGAAAGCCTTGAGCCTGATGAGATGAAGGTAACAATTCTTCAACACCTGGGTGGGTGACGATCCATCTTATCCGCTGTCACAGTCTTACAAGAACTTCTCCTTAAACCTGACATCTCTTCTTGACAAAAACCCACAGCCTGAACAGTTACCCAAGCCAATGAACTGTATACACGTTCTGTTTCACATGAGCCAACCTGTATACTCAAAACAAGGGGCACCATCGTTAGACAAAGGGATCTCTCCATGTTCCTTATATTCCTCAGAATGTCACCCAGAACCAACATATCAAAATTTAAAAGAAGGTGCTGTTCGTGTGATAAAAAAACAAACAAACAAAAAAAACACTGGAAAGAAATGCTTAACCATAATGGCTCAGTGTTTGTAGAAGATGCCTGTTTTCTCCATTTTAAACAGAGGCACTTTTGAGATACTATATTTATTTATTTATTTATTTATTTATCTTTTATCCTCACCCGAGGACATTTTTCCATTTTTTGTTCAGGTAGAGTGGGAGGGAGAGAGAGGAACAGAGAGAGAGAGAGAAACATCGACGTGAAAGGAACACATCGAGTGGTTGCCACCCGCACAACCGACCAGGGCCGGGGACAAACTGCAACCGAGGTACGCGCCCTTAGCGGGAACCGAACCCGGGTCTCTCAGGACCTCAGGCCGACGCTCTAACCGCTGAGCCAAACCGGCCACGGCTCTTTTGAGATACTATAAACTGTCTCTTTCAGTTGCACATATTTGTTAGAGCTCGATACGAAATGTTGGATAATGATGGTGGAAATGAGAGTGGAGATGTGGGGATAAGGGGAGCCGTGTCTGGAATCTGACTCTAGGAGCAGCCCTTCAGGTATGACTTGGAAAGGAAAACACTCCAGGCTGGAAAGAGAACTTGGCCACTGCTGCTACTGTAGGAGCTGGAAGGTATTTCCTCATAGTATTAGGGGAGGGCGCAAATGCAGAGAGTATGGCTGGTTTTGCCATTAGCTCGGTGTGATGTTTTTGCCATTAGCAATGATAAGCCAGTCTATCGTCAGTTATCAGTGTGGCTTCCTCCGTATTTTTTTGAGAGCGCTCCAGAGAGAAAGCACTGGTAACTGACACACCTGCTACTTGTTCTCTTGGGCTCCCCAGTCACCGAGCCAGCTGTAGACTTGGCTGCGTGCAGAGGGCAATTCTGCTTTGTGGGGGGAGGGGTGAGGGGGAGGGGGGGAGGTTTGTATCTCCACATGCAGCACTAGGCTGATGGTTGCCACTTATTAGAAAAGGGGCAGAATCTACCACAGACTTAGGCCTTTGAGAAACACGATGCTATCTTTCAATTCTAGGACAGTCTCCCCAGTATTTCAAGGAGTTGGACAAAAACTGATCAGGTAACAGCAAGAATTAAATAAGCTCATTTTAAAAAGGGTAGAAAAGGGGGTTTCTATATTGCTCACTTCGGCTTGACATAAATTAAAAGGGGTCAATTGCACTGTGAAAGATAGTAATTAGTCTTTTGGGGGTGATTACTTTGTAGACCATACAGATGTTAAATTACAATGGAACTTATATAATGTGATGTACCAATTTTATATAATATATACATCAACTTATATATTGTTATATACCAATTTTGCCTCAATTAAAATTTTAAAAAAGATAATGGAACCACCACCATTTAAAAACATTTCTTCTCATTTTCCCTCCTAATTTTCGTTGGGCAAAAGTTAATTTTTGTTCTTGTTAAGAATTAATTTTCAAGAGAAATTCTTCTTGTGTCATTTCCTGATTGACTTATAAAAAAACTTCCAAATCCAAATACAATGACTCCAACTAGTAAAGGAAACTATGAAACATTTTTTTCAGGGGAACGGTTTCTTAGCAATGTTTCTTGGCAGAGGGAAAAGCTAATTCTAAAATCATTGCTGTCCAGAAAAGAAATGTCAAAATAAAACAAATGCTGTCATACACAGATGGTAAATCTCACTTTATTATTCATTATTGAACAAAAGTAACTGTCAAAAAGTCATGGAAAAACATCAGTTAGCCAAAGATCTGAGCAAAAGCATTAAGTATATGACAACGAAGCCTCATCCATATCCAGCTGATAAAATTAAGATGGAACCGTGACAACATTGGCTTTTCGGACGACTCCCCACACAATGTAATGTTGCGGCTTGGCTGTGGCAGGCTGCTCTGATCCATCAACATATATCTCCATCTCCCTGCCCCCAGGGAACTTCTAACCCGGCCTACCCAAGCCACCCTCCTCACTCTGATGGGGGGGCATGGAAGGAAAGCAAGGAACGCCCCAGCAGCCTTGCACCAGGGCCCGGACTTCCCTCCGAACAGGGCCACCAACGTGAGTGTGACGGATGAGTAGGCATGAGTTCACATACCAAGAAGCCTCTTTGTCCAAACAAAGGACCTGCTTGGTGATGGTTGCTTCTTTCAGGCTAATTTTTTTACATGACTAAAATGTAAATTGGAGAGTTAACATGTGTCTTAGTAGTTCATCTAAAGTAGTTCATCTAAATCTTCTCCAGCTAAAGGATTTTGGAGAAAATATCTTCCCAGATGCTCAATTGACAGCCTGATGTTCTCTCCCTCCTGCTCTACATTCAACCACTTCTGGCTGAACGTGCATTCATCCCTGCCCAGTGCATCCTTCCAGTGGGTTTCTAATCCGCCCCATGCCACGGGTCCCCACTCCTCTCCCCTGGTCTCCAAGGGAATTTACAGACTACGTCACGTTGCTGTCAGGGGCATCTTTGAAGCCCCAAACCAACAGGCCACACATGTTTAAAGACCTCTGATTGCTTTCCAATCAGGAAAAAGTTCCAGCTTCTGCCCAACACAGAGAATCCTCACCTCTGGACCAACCTGCTTTGCGAGCATTGACTCCTATCCTTCCCCACAAAGAGTGCCCTGTGCTTCACCCAGATCTCACTCCTCCCTGCTGTTAGGGCAGGTTCATGCTGACTTTGCTTTGTACATGTTGGTTCCTTTGCCTAAAGTGCCCTTCTTCCCCGTCTTTCCTGCCCGCCTTACGTTTTAAGTCCCAGGGTGAATGTCACATCTCCGGTGAACTTTTCACTCCCCGTCTCTCTCTCCTCTGTACTTTCACTGCGCGTTCTATATGCTCTTCTGTCACACGCATCTCTATATCTTATCTTACACACACTTGTCGCACGAACCTCTGTATGTTAACTAGCTGTTCGCGGGTTTGTCTTCCCTTCTACCCCCCTCTCTCAAGG